ACCTACTCATGTATTCAGTATTTCCTGCGTACTTAACCAACCGATTCCTGGGTCGACACCACTTAACCAAGTGCGCAGGAAATACTGAATACATGGCCAAGTACGCAGGAAATACTGAATATCAACAAGTACGCAGTATTTCCTGTGTCCAAGTACACACTTCGGTTTCCAGAGTAAAGCAGACAAATGGGTGGATTGTTGCCTGTTCCGTTCTTTCATTACTTACCTTGCACACTCTTTTGAATAACAAAACAATAGTTTTCAGCGAAATCACCACAAACAAAAACTTCACGTGGGCCAATTTTATTTTTTTTATCGTATCGTGGAAATTTGCATCCGTGCTAGAAACTCATGCCATGGCATTTCTTTTAAACTTCGAATGAAGAACTTGACAACATCTTGTTTGACGAGTGATTTAACATGCAAAGTTGTGCGGTTTTCCACTTTTTTTCCAATGGCTGAAGGTCTGAACTGGACATCCTCGCAATTCAGTGCGCCAAGAATAGTTTTCATTGTTTCTATTTCCTTGTAAACCGCACACTCCCTTGAATATCACTTTTCAGTAGCGGGGTGGCAAAGACTGCTGGCAAAGGCATGATCCACTGACACAAACATGCACTTTACGTCCTCTAGGGCTTCCTGAGAAGAGAGCGCAACGCATGGCACTCCAGAGTCACGTTTTGGTCGCGCACACACACACACACGTTCTCCATGCCCGTCGGAGGGATCCATACACACTGGCGTTAACGAAGTCGGGCGAAAATTGAACATCGTACTTTGTGTGGGGGGTGGTTTACATACATCAATCGATTCGTCTCGCCAACCAGGCCGCGCGGGAGGGTCTGTGCATGTCGGCAATAGGTTTATATTTGATATAACTTCTATCGCTTTTGGGAATCGAAAATAATCTGTTATCCTGCCAAATGCCGGAAAGTGTTGTGATTTTTTGGGTGGCCGGGCCGTAGTGCAAGGCCCGGCCACGCCGTCAGAGTTGCCTCCGACAGCTTAGAAAAATTGCCAGTTGAGACTGAGTTCAGTTCTCATACCAATGGGTGAAGAGGAACCTGAACTCTCCTGCCTCCTTTCTGAAACATAAGTAGTCAGGCAAATTATCGGGAATATCAATTAATATGAGTTCCGGCACGCTTTTGAAGGCGTCCAGAACCCACTTTAATCTCCAGTCCCTCTTCTGCCTGTCTCCCTGTATCGTCAGACGGGCGCAGGTCACCTCAGCTAGCGGGAAAAGTTGGGACTCGGCCGCAAGTTCAAAGCAGAACGTCCGAGTTCCCCAAAAATTGTTGCCTAAAAGATAGACAACTCTTGCTGCGTGACACGATTGGCTTAGAGCAATCAGGTCGTTTCCTGGCAGATACTGTGCCAACAGCAAAAAAATGTCCGCTGGCATTGATTGCAATGAAGCAGTCATTTTAACACTCAAACAATTCAACAAGAATGAGAATGTAGAGGATAAAGTTGAATGAACGACAGAGCGAGGTGAACAGTGTATGTACACGGATCAGCAGTGGGAAGGAAAGGTGATATTTATACGGTCAGATGAGCGGAGCTCTTTGCGCTGCGATACGCACGATCTATCCTTTTAAGAATTGGCGAGTAGCACTTCGCGGTTTGTGCCGCCGGGTAACACCAACGCAAGTCGGCCCCTGTCCATGAGGGCGCGCAGCATGCGCTCCAGCTCCGCCTTGATGGTACCGTCGACGAGCCGGAGGCATGCTCGCAGAGCTCTGTGGGGCACGGACACCAACCTCCCCTTCACAAGCTTTGCTGGTGTTTCTCGCACGATGGTTTTCATTCCCGAAAAAAAACACTGGCAAGGCAGGGTCCGGACTTGTTCGTCCCTGACGAGGCCCTTCGTGGGGTGATTGATGGCCACAGGCGCGAAGCAGACCGAGCACGAAGCGTATAGGACGTCCGGTGCTTCTAGAGACAGGCCCAACGCGTCCACATGGTCTGCGAGCGCGGCTTCGAGCAGGGTGTTGAGAGCTGCATAACAAAAGTAATTGCGATTAGTCTTACTTGTTTTGAAGGTGGTACGTGGCGGAGCGTCACAACCAGCAAGCTATGGACGTTGACTGATGGGACTCAAGCAGTGAGTCTCCTTTAGTCGGCCTGCGCCCGTGAACGAGCGGCATTGGTAGGGAGTTGGAGGTCGGAGGGTGAAAAGAGAATGGCACAGGGTGGCTTGATCCCCATGGCACGGCATGGCCCCAGTGCCTTTACGCGCGAGATTAACTTCCACTACTAGCCCAAAACGTTTTTTTTTTTTTTTTTAGTGCTTGCGCGTGGCAAGCCGAGATTGAGTCTATTGAATCTTGACTTTTTATACACCAATCGATTCGTCTCGCTAAAATAGAGTGCTAAAGCACCAAAATTTTATTTTCAGAGCCGTATCTCGAACGGTTTTAAAGTTATAAGCGTTCAAAGACTGGGTGGTGAAACAGGCGACCGGAATGACTCAGGCATTACCTCACGCGGGGGCGCTAGGGCCGCTAGGGCCCAGAGTCAGAAGGACACAAGGGCGGCGGGGCGCAGGGGCACGGTGTCGCTGGGCCGAGGGTCTGAGGAGGTAGGCAAAGGAGGCGGGCCGATGAGGCGGGCCGAGGAGGTGTGCAAAAGAAGGAAGAAGGTAAAATTTGTTGGACCTTAAAATGACATTTTTTGGTCCACTGGTGGGCATGCCAGTTGGGTGGTTCCCCATCCAGATTTCGACCAAAGTAAGTGCGTTTATCCCCAATGGCGGTTCCCCACCTTCTTTGTTATGGTTTTTCCGACCTGGGTCGTTCCGGGGGAACCCAATGGTCAAGGTCCCCGATAACGCCCCTAGGATGACCCCGGAAGTAAAATCTGACACCGGAAATGAAATCGGCATGCTCGAAAACCCTCAGGTACCAAATCTTAACTCATTTGGTCGACACATAAGGGCGCTGCGAGCTCGAACAGGGCGAAACCGCCCAGACCGGCTGGCAGCCAGGGCGGCCTCCGGCTCCGCCGACCTCGAATGCGCTTAGTGATCGGCTCTGTTAAGCGCAATTTTGATCGCAGAAAGTCGGGCAAAAGACAGTTCTATAGGGAAAACAGTCAGGAATCTCATGAACTCAACGCCGTGTGCGAGGAATGAACGCAGCCAGAGCCTATTGGTTTCCCAGGTCCAAAAGCGGGGTCCAGGGGCTGTAAAGCTTCTTCTCCAGGGCGCCCTTCTCTCATGGTTAGTGTCATGCCCACGCAGGTTTTGGCGAAGAAAAATTAATAAAAAAATCTCAACTGTCTGAGATTTTGTTGAGTTACTGTTACGCCCTTGGTTACGCCCTACCCAGGGTCCGTACCCCCACATACGCCGAGAGGGGTCGTTTTCTCGAGTCGCGACGTGAAGCTCAACGTGCCCCCTACTGCTAGTTAAAATGGTTTTGGGAGCGAAGCGAGAGCACTTTAAAGAAGACGGCACAGGCGCCAGGCGCGTCGCAGCGTAACAGTGTTTCGTGAGATATCGCGAAGCCTGTTACGCGAGACGTGGTCTGGCGTACAAATAGCTAGTACTATTGCTCGATACATAGTATGTTAAATCTGTTGACAACACTCATTTGTCGAGATCAAAAGTCATCACACTCCCACTTCCAATTACTGAGGGCTGAGCACTAAAAACTACCGCGGAAGAACTAGAAACAAACTTTTAAATTAGTAACATTTAAAACGTAAAATACAGAGTGGAATATGCCAAAAATTTAATTATTTTGTTTTCTGGTATCATTTTAGATTTTGGTCATTTTCCAATATTGCAGTTGCCTCCCCCCCCCCCTCACATTAAACTTGCTTTTCTTCTTCCGTAGGTTCCAATCCCTTGTACCTATTGTCTGCTGCACTACGCCCGCAGCACACCGCCCACCTCCGGTGAATCCACCCTCCGTGTATCCCACGCTAGCTCCAACCTCGTCGCCCACTGGCTATGGCCGCGTCGCCGCAGAGCCAGTCACGGAGTCATGTGAGAGGCTACTTTCGAGCCCACCAAAAGCTTCCAGCGCACATCGCTCTACTGCGGACAGAAGTAAGAGTCAAGTCATTTCTCATCAACTTCTCACAACTAGATTACGAGAACGCGCGCGAATAGATGCACGGTAAAAACAATGTCTCATTTTTTTGAGGAGAAAGGGAAAACTTTGAGGATCTCCCAGATTTGAGGAGAACTCCTCAAATCTTCAGATTCTCAAATCATCAGATTTTGAGGAACCTCCTCAAAAAATAAGGAAGAGTGACACATTTTTTGAGGAGACTCCCTCGAAATCTGACGAGCTTTCCACAAACCAAGGGAGTTCCTCAAAGTTTTCCCTTTTTCCTGAGAATATGAGACTTTTTTTACCGTGTGTAATGGAATGACCGTTAGAAGGCTTGTGAGGAAGAAACGAGAAGGAGAACAGTAAAGGGGCGCAAAACACAAAATTAATTTTCATCAGGTCAGTGACTGTAATTTTGGATGAGGGTAAGGTGCCCAGTGATGGACACTGTACCAGTGATGGACACTGTCAAACTTTTCACTTTACGACCTTGTACCTATGAAAGTAATGTTCTCGTAGGACCCCTACCGGAGTGCTATAAACCAAACAATCTCGCTTCGATCGTTACATTCCAAGAAAAAAGGCGTGTCCATCACTGGGCAGGTGTCCATCATTGCGCATCTTACCCTTCGGTCAACCCCGTACAGAATGTACGGTAACTTCGCTAACCGTGTTTGTGGTCAGTTCAGCACTTGGCTTAAACACTGAAGTCGGTCCATAACATATCTTTGCGGTCTGGCCTGTACAGAAAATATACAAGATGTATCGACCAAAGGCAAACCGTATACGGAAGTATACTTCCGTACAGAATTTCTAACAGTGTACACGTGGTCATGCCGCAAGCAACGTGTTAAGAGACCTAGTCCACGTAGTCTGTCGTAACCCGCACCTTCTAGTTTGCGACTTTTAACCCTTTTTGTACTGCATCCTGCTGACGCACTGTGCCCCCACAGAGTGCGACACGTACAGGCGCGCCGCGTGCGCCCTGGCTTCGCCCACGCTCACAGCGTCCGCGCCCTCCGACGGTGAGCCGGCCGACCGAATGGAGTTCCCCCACATGGCTCTCCTGGGCTACGGCGATAACCCCGCGGCGCTGTCCTGGTCGTGCGGCGGCTCTCTCATCGCCCCTGACTGGGTGCTCACCGCTGCACACTGTGCGGCCGCCGGCAGCACACGCGTGAGCTTTGTACTTCTCGGCGCGCTGCAGCGCGGTGAGGCTAGAAACTTACAACCTGATATGTTGCAGGGTTAACTTAAATTGTTTAAACAGCATTACAGTCAACAGTAAAATAGAATAATAATTTCCATTGGATCTCGTGAATTTCACACTTTAATTAAATGTCGTAATTTTCCCACGAGCATCTGTACAAATACTTCGGAAACCCAAGTTTGTACTAGAGTGCAGTACTTCCTGCATACTCACATGTATTCAGGAGGTAATGTGTACTTGGTTAAGTATCCAGTAAAACCTCTATGTATTTATGAAAGATATTAAGTGTGTACTACATAAAATTACACAGTACCTGCATTCAAGTACACACTTAGGTTTCCAGAGTAGGTTGCAAGAATGAATATTCCTTATTGGAAATTTCCAAACAATTTGGAAAACAGAAACGTTCCATTTCACACACCAAAACTACGTATAGTCAACAAAAATGATGAATTTTAGGAATTAATTTATGTGAGTCAAAAATTCAATGACAATTTTCAAGAAAGTTTTGAACCTTCTAAATCGTTTTTCAAATTATGTTTCCAAAATGTTTGGATTTCAAATTTTCCAGTCAATTGTTTTGAACTTTCCCTAAACAATTTTTACAGTTTATCT